CTTGGAGCCTAGTCCACTGTCCAATTTGATGAATTGAGGGCTCCAAGTACTGTTGCCCGCGAAATCCTGCTCAGTATGCTTTGAATTGACAGTCTTTATGGTGAAATGCAACCTAGGGAGGTAGTTGTAGCACTATGGAGAACGTTGAAGTATAAGATTTTTCCTATCTGGAGTTAGGATCGTTGATTTATATGGTATTGATGACTCCCCTTATTTTGTGTTGTGGACTCGTGTATCGGAAAAGGGTGCTTATGTGTGAAATGAAAAGGCAGTTGGTCCTCCATGTCAAAAACTTTGAAATCTTGAGACATGCGGTAAGCCCAATGTGTGTGCCACCATTCATTGCACAAAACTGGGTTTTGGAAGAGATTTTAGTGATCCTTGGTGAGGTAGGCCTACAAGGTGAAGCTAAGTTGTCTCTTGTACAAGTAAAATTTTCACCCGTTGAACGGTTTGCCTACTCGAGGATGTGTTTTTAAGGGGACGGATAGAGCTTCCGACCCCCCTTAATTTCATTGTCCCTCCACACGAAGTGAGGCATTGGAGTTAAAAGAAGTAATCTGGCGAGCGGCAGATGTACAGAAATTTCTCTTGCTAACCTAATAAGGGCAGACCGCGTATACAAACTATAGTTGGAACCCTAGCAAAGTTAAACAAAAAAGAAAAAAAGAGACAAATAATAAGAAGAAGGGGTTCCAATAAGTGAAATGAAATGAAAGAGCACCTGATACAATGAGTCTCTGGTTGTTGAATGGGGTGAGTCTCCTTATCCATGAATTGGATGTCTTAGTTCCACTGCTTCTCATGATCCTGGTTTGAGTCTAGTACTCGCATTGAGAGAGATAGGGGGTGTCTTAGAAGACCAGTTGACCTCGTAAGTTGCTAAATGATCTAGAAAATCATTTTCCGACGATCGCGATTGCATGTTGCTATAGAGGTCTGGAGAGCTGCATTGGTTTGATTAAGGTTTGTTTGGGGACAAGCAAATGGTTAAATGTGGGGGAATTTGATGACTTGATATATACACATGTTTTTGTCCACCATTCTTATACCGTTTGAGTCTCATATCTCGTGTTTTAGGTCGATTTCACGCTAGGTTGTTCTTGTTTATGATATTTCAGGTCCTAGCACGTGAAGGAAGGTTTGGGGATGAGTTCGGGGCCGATTGGACAAAGTTGGGACGTGTGACGAAAAGCTGGGGAAACGACACGGCCATGTGACGTGGCCGGGTGGAACTCCTTTACGCAGGCAAGCCACATTGGCCGTGTAAAGGATCCTTTGTGGCCGTGTGGAATTCCCAGGGAGCTCACACGGGCAGGCCATGATTTCACACAACCATGCGGTTCTGGTCGTGCAGCGTGCATGAAGCCACTTAAGTGAAACGCTGCATTTTGCAAGGCCACACGGGCAGCTAGGAATTTCTACACGGTCGTGAGGCCTGGCCGTGTAATCACGGAATTCTGGGTTTTAGACCCAATTTCAAGTCTTTGAATAGGAAATCGATTGAGCAAAAACAGAGTCCTAGAGAGAGAAAGTGCGAAGAACAAAACCCTAGAAGTGATTTTGAAGCTGGGTTTCATCAATCAAGCTTGGATTTCATCCTTGGAGTGAAGATTATCATCCCAGACCATATCCTTCTCATCTTGATGAGTATGACTGCTTTGTATTCTGTTTTCCTCTCTCTCTCTCTCTCTCTCTATGGAGTAGAACCCTCTCTCACTTGGGTATGAAGAACCCTAGTTCCATGTGTTAGGGATATCGATTGTAATGACTTTTGGTTTGTGATACTGCTTGGTTATAATCGATTGAAGTGTTTTGATTGAGTCAATTGAAGCTTGATCATCTTTTCTTGATTTCTGCTGCAAGCCTGCAACCTGAGATAGATAGAATCTGATTAGGTTGTTAGAGCTTCTTCAATCGGTAGTAGTGAATCGATTATACGAGAGTTAGTCGATTCACTGCTTTGTACTGGAATCCAATTTTAGTAGTGGAGTTCTGTGTGAATTGCCTCAGTGTTCTATCCCGGTGAAGACTAGTCGTCTGTCGGGTAGTCTGTCTGAGAGGGCTTGGTCAGCTTAAAAGATTCGAAACTACTGTCGGATCTTCCGTAGTTTAATCAACAGTAAATCAACCATAGGTAATTATAACTTTGACCTAACTAAGGAGCTAGGGGGACTCATTCCCGAGTTACTCTTCCCTTGCTTAAGAACTTCAAACCATTTCTTGCTTTCTTACTGCTTTAGCTTAAAATCATACTCACTCAACTTAGTATCGCTAGATAATAAATAATCACGGAGTAGGCAGTAGATCTAGACCCCGAGTTGATAAATTGAACTTGCCACTATTCAGCATTTTCGGACTGCGATTGCACTTAGTCGCAGTTTGGTGTTGTGTTTTAGCGTGTCAGAGAGTTAGGGTTTCCTCAGTTTGTTTGATTAAGAGAGCTAGGCCTCCTGGCTTATTGTTGCAATCCTTAGCCAAGCGGTTAAGAGAGCTAGGTTTGCTAGCTTATTGTAGCAATCCTTGATTGATCGACTAGGAGGGCTCGTTCCTAGCTTATTGCACCCTCCTCGCGGTATATAAACATACCCTTCACACTAGAGTTTCGTTCATTGATTCTTAGCACGAGACTAGGGGAGCAATATCCGGGTGAGGTCCTCTCATATAGAATTCCCCTCGATTTACTTTACTTGCTTGTTTTAATTTGTAGTTTTCTTAGTTTTAAACCCAAAAATGTTTGCTAGATAACAACCTAAGCGATTGAACTAGGGGTACATGGACCGATCCGGGTTTGACAATTAAAACATACTTTCCCTATGCTACACTGGGCTAGAGATTAAAAACTTGGGCTCTAGTCGGGATTGATTTGTTGTGTATGTGTGGCGAGTCAAGGCAATATTGGAGAAACAAATAGATCCTGATGTTGTCACTGCAACTATTGATGTTCTGCTTTCTCTTGCCGATGACTGAGTGTGCAACTGAGAGGGAGGAGTATATTAGCTTTCCTGTTGTTGGACTAACGTCTAATTGAATCAGTAGTGTTAAGAATTAAGATAATTTATGGGTTAATCTCACCGAAATAACATGAGAATTTTAGTACTTGCTACGATCTTTTAGTTAGTTTGACTAATAGGCTAAAAAAGTAGTGTGTTATTTTGTGGACTCTGGAAGGAAAGGGCACAGTAACCTTAGTTCTCTTCACTCAACATTAAATTAAATAAATGATAATATTTTTTTAATACCATGGTGACCGATTGGGAATATACTTTATATTTGTTTACTTCCACTATTGTTAGTAACATTTATTTAGGTAGAAGAATACTTTAGTGACTTTCTCCCACATATTTTAAGATTATTTTAATTTCGTTGCGTATGGAAGGATGATGACTTCTTCTATTTTCTAAAAATATTTCTCTGATTTTATCAAAAGATAGCGTGAGTATGGATTGATTTGATGTTTAAAATAAGTCTCATGTGTAAGCACATATTTCCTCAGGGGTAGGTTCGATGTAGAACTGAAAGGGATTATTTACTCTTAACGGTCAAAGCGAAACCCCTTCTTTCCGAATAAAGATTAAAGAAGATTTCTCACTTCTTTCTCGCATTTAAAACCGTGCATGAGATTTTCATCTCGCACGGCTCCTATAAGCTCATGAAGAGTTTACACGATTCTTAGGATAACTCTTTTTGAATTCTTACATGACAAGAAACCTATTGAACAAAAAAATTATATTTAATTTATAATTTCTAACTATTTTCATTTTTATTATACTTTTAAATATGTCAAAAACGATTAAATGTCCCCGCGACGTAGCCGTGAGTTTAGGGTTACATCCTAGTTGTTTAATTCTAGCTGTTTTTTTTTTAATGGAAAGCAAGATTTGTTTCATCAAAAGTTCAGTCAAGAGCAAGGTTACATCCTCCCACAAACTGTTCAAGTTTTAAAACATCCTAATGCAAATGCACACATAACAACCCTATAATCGTCATAATACTCTTGCTCTACATGTGGAAGTAGCAACTTTTCCCAAAAAAAACATTCAAAAGAGTCGAACTAGTATTCTCATATATGAGGCCAACAAATATTCCACACAAATGAACACGTATTAATAGCATCGACCAAATATTCAAAAGAGCCGAAGAAGTCTTCATTGTATTCAGACAAGCATTAAAAAATAAGAGAGCATAGAGAGAGGAGGAAAAAAGGAAAAATGAACTAAAAGGAAAATGAAAGAAATGTGAGACCAACCCACTTATAGGAAAATGAAACTCCTTTTTTTCCCCTTCCTTCTTACATAAGCTCATATCTCAACCCTCAAATCATAAGTGAGATGTGTCATTCAATCTCCCCATGTGAGCACCGTAACAAAATTGCATTTGAGTCACTCGCAATCAATAACCTACCTACCCGAATAAACCTACAAGTATGAGATTTTCTGATTAGTAGTCCGCCTCTATAAATCGCTAGCTCACAATGATTTAGATTATTTACGTGTGCCCTAATATCAAATCGTTATTCAGTCACCCAAATACTCACCTACCAAAATGTTTGAATCTTTAATTGTTGAAGTATAAGATTAAGAATGTATTGGGGACCAAAGTTAAAATAGTCTAACGGTAAGCTGCAAACGTAAAAGGTTTGAGAGTTGCAGATTCCAGGTTCGATCCAAGCAAGACTCGCTGGTGTTTCTAGAGATATTAGGCTGCTGAGGGCAAAACTCCGTTGGCGTCGAAATTGATTATAAATGACGCTCAGATTTAGTAGGTCCTACTGTTACAAAGTGGCACGTGGGGCTGAAGAAAAAAAAGAATGTATTGGATTTGGGACAATGGGCCAGGCCGAACAGCAATTACGAGCCCATAGTCACAAGATTCCGAATCCGAACCCAACGATTTTAAGAGAGCAAGAAAATGACTTCTTCGACAAATCGTTAATCTTTGTTAAGCATTTAACTCATTGTCTTCAAGAATCGATAATACATGATACCTAGCATTGCACAGCGACTGACCTCCTTCCATATTTTATACTTCCGTTCCGTAGCGTCTGGTATAATATTTTGTTCGCCATTAACTTATTCAGACAGCCATGGCAATATCCAACTCCACAATACAAGGTAACCCCCCATCCCACAATTTCTCCTTTTTCTTTGCCATTTTCGTTTCCCTTCTCGGTATGAATTCCGATGTTAATTTTGTTGGCTGAACGTCGAAGCTTGAATTGGGATGTCTTGAATGAATCGAAGAAATGCATGATCTGTAAATAATCCTGCTCTTGAAAATGTATCATGCAGAGATAGATTTGAGTTTTCAGGGGAAGGGTTTGGAAGAAACAAGCGATTTCTTCCAGCGGAAATGCAGTTCTTGTTCAGAGGAACAGTTAGCCTTCAACGGAGAAGCAAAGGCCGGAATCGACTTTGAACAGAATGTTGATGATGCAATGCAGTTAGATTCTGGCCAGCCTGCAGCTTCCCCTAGCAGATCTGGTCCCCTTGATTCCGAACTTAATTACAAACCGAAAGACGTATTGTACAATGAAGTTGATCGCTGCAAAGGTGAATCTATAACAAAATCTCCCTGCAACAATGGCGGAGAAACACAAACTTCTGCTGATCATGCACAGGAGTCCCTTCTTACAGTAGATGACAGCAATGCCGGCAACGTTAACGATGATACGAAGCTGGATACAACGGGAGTTGCATCTTCCGGGGAACAAGTTGGATACAGTACTGATCAAGGTTCTCCTAACGTCAACAACTCACTGTCCACCAATGAAGCTGTCCAAGGAAATTCGATGGCACGTAAGGATAGACGACCTCGGTCGCCTGGAACGTCGTGTAATGAAGGTAAGGAAGCTGGTAGTGATCAGCATCATTTGTGTAGCTCCACTGCAAGAATAACACCGGCTTCCCCAAAGAGGTTAAATCATAAGCATAGTTCTTCTGCATCACCGCAAGTACACAACTCACCAAACAAGCATAGCAGACATGGGCGTTCGAGGTCAAGATCACCCATTAAGCAAAGGGACTCCAGTTCTGTGCACAGGAGAGATCGGCGAAGCAGGTCTCGATCAAGATCTCCTAGGTGAGTGCATTGTTGTTTCTTTGTATCTATTTGGAGTTATCCTCAGACGGTAAGTACTCAAGCACCACTGGTGTCCAGTCAGACAGCTTCTTAATATGGTGAGCATGTACTAATTCCATTGTTATGTGCTTACAGAACAAGGCATTCGCCGAGGAGACGATCTCCTACTTCAGGACGTTATCACTCTAGCCGCTACTCTCCTCTTCGGAGATCTTGGGTACCTCCTCCCAACAGGAGAACCGGATTTGGAAAGCCTGGAAATAACTTGTTCATTGCAGGGTTTAGCTTTTTGACAACAGAAAGAGATTTGGAAAGGAAGTTCTCTAGGTTCGGACGCGTGCGTGATGTTCGTATCGTGCGTGACAGAAGGTAAGTTGATGCAGCAGGTAGGTTACTGCATATATAGCAACTAATTATTGATGTGATAGCTCCTTTTCTACAATCCTAGAAACTGGGAAATGGCTTCTGTTATGGAAGAGTACTAAGTTGATTTAGTAGAATGTTTCAATGATATGGCCGATTTTAATATTTGTTTGGTTGTTTGTTTGTTTGTCTATTGTTTGATTCCATACAACCCTTTTGTGCATGTAAGGTCTGGAGATTCTCGAGGATTCGGGTTCTTATCTTTGGAAAGGGATGAAGAAGCAGATGCTGCAATTAAGGCTCTTGATGAAACAGAATGGAACGGTCGGATTATTCTCGTGGAGAAATCAAAGTCCCATTGAAGCTCCGATACTGATGTTGTTCCCTTTATCTGGTGATATACTTCTGGCATTTCATTCTTCTATTTCAGACATATGTTGATTTTATGATAGGCATGTCGATCTCTTCCCATTGTAACTTGAAAAAAAGCAGCTAACATAAGGAGATGGTATCATGGTTTTGCTTCTGGTTGTGAAGGTTTCAACGGAATTTGAAACACATTAGGTCATTCTCATTGGTTAATCAATGGTCAAAACTAGCATTCTTTGTTTAAGATTCATTCCAAAGGGTACAGATCTGGTTATTCATGTCTGCAAACTGCAGACTGCAGAGGGTATTCCGGTTCTAAGAAAAGGAAAAAAAAAAAAGACTGTCCACATTGCCAGCAGCGTATATTGGTATTGGGAGGAAAGTTGCAGCAGTATAAATGCTCTATCAGAAGAACCAAGTGCCATGGTGCTCATTTCACCGTTACGCTTACAAGTTGGGAGGAAAAAGGATCACTTATACTAATCTTACAACTTGTTTTCTTGTCAAACTCAAATCTGCTGTAACAACAGATACTTTTAGAAAAAATTTGACTTATATATTCACATCGCTTATGATTCTTGCTTGTCAAAACAACCCAAATGAAAGCCTCGCAAGTATCTCAAAGGAGGGAGGAGGGCTGTCTCAAGTTCTATGCTTTCAGGTGTTTCAAAGTTCATATGCGTATCATTCAGATGCCTGAAAGAGGATGAAACCTCCCTGCCCTGATATCCATTGTGGTTGGAAGAAACTCACATAGAGATGGAGAATGATAAGGTAGCCACTGCACTGGTGGATTTAGAAAAGCTTGGCCTGATGAGGTGTTCCACTTCTCATCATAGCACAGAACTCTTCATAGTTGATTCTACCATCCTGGAAATTCCCAGAAAGTTTTTCCAGCATTAGTATAACTATTTGAGGTACAAGGCAAGGATAAGTGCCCCGAGTTAGAGATCAGCTTACATTATCGGTATCTACTTCAGCTATGATTTCTCTGATTGTTGCATCATCTGCTATACCGTAGTCCTTCATGGCCATCTCTAGCTCATCTTTAGTGATAAAACTGCAAACACATTTGCGAAATTCATTAGGTTGGTCAGTTCAAGATTCTTCAGAGGCATAATGTCAATAATTTTCTGCACCACGGACTTACCCACTGCTGTCCTTGTCGAAGTATTGGAAGGCTTTGAAAAGATGTTCATCTCTTTCTAATCTATGTCTGTGCATGGTAGCCGTGATGAATTCAATGTAATCGATTGTCCCGTTTCCATCAACGTCAGCCTGAAATTTCAGAACCGAGCCTAAGTTAGTTATCCATGAAACCCATCATCACCTAAAAGAAGTTTGAGATGTTCAATTTTCTTACAGCCTCCATGAGCTGCTTCACTTCAGCTTCTGTGAGCTTCGATCCAAGGCGAGCCAACCCTGACTTCAGTTCTTCATAGGTGATCGTGCCACTATTGTCAGTATCAATGTTAGCAAACATTGATTTCAGCCCTTGGATTTCGTCTTTAGAAAGGTTTTCAGCGATGACCTGTAGAAGAGTTTTAAGCACATTATCATAAGCTGATTGTTTAACAAGAGCACAAAAATATTTCATCCAGTGTCATCTCTTAAGTATAACCGTGCCTGCCTAAAGCAAATCACTTTTAACCTATACCTTCAAAGCCAGTTTCTTGAGCTTGTTCATTGCTCTGAATTGCTTCATCCTAGAAAGGACTGCACTGTCTATTGGCTTATCTGAAGCTTCTCCACCTTCCTTGAGCCAGGGATGATCTGCATGAGCAAATAGAAATCCAGAACAAATTTCGATTAAGTCCAACATTCACAATTACAAAAGCGAAAAACTCAGGAGAGAAAGAAATACCCATACCAAGGACTTGAGCAGCAGTAATTCGTCTCTTAGGATCCTGGGTTAGCATTTTCTGAACCAGGTCTTTTGCACTACTCGAGATAACCGGCCAGGGGTGACTTTCGAAATCAATGTCACCTTGCAATATGGCGTCAAAGATTCCCTTCTCATTCTCTGAATTACAATTGTCAAATTACAGCACAATAATTCAGTAACTCAACTCAAAACCAGGCTCCTCCAGCTAGTTAGAAGTGAATAGGAGAAGAGGCAAGTTCACTATGATCTCGACGAAATATCAAGCAGATATATATGCAGAACTCATCATGTTACCTGCCCAAAATGGAGGCACACCACTGAGCAAGATATAGAGTATAACCCCAGCACTCCATACATCTATTTCCTTGCCATATTTGCGCCTCAATACCTCAGGAGCAACATAATACGCACTCCCAACGATATCCCGATACACTTTCCCTGCACATTGTCAAACGCAGGTTTCATCAGCCGCAATGCTACTTCCTGACAATTACCATGCATGCACAGAATGACTAGCTTCCAATATGAAATGACCATCTTTGGAGGCGTTACAAAACATACAACTCCCCAGGAAAGAAAGCAAAGATTGTGCACTTGCTGCCAAAACCCTGCAGCGTTTCTTGATGTGCACACTGAGGTAAGCCTTTGAAACCCAGAAGCACCTGGCAATCTCATATGGCATCCTGTTATCATATACATTGATTGCTTTTGTCTGGCTATTTAACAGAATCATCATAAAATCATCCATACAACTATTTTTAGTAACCTTTTTCAGAACCCAAAAAAGGCAAATACTAAAAACCCACATCATATGAACACAGAACACCTGGAATTCGAAAATGATAGATCATACAACTGCCAAAAACAAAGAAGGAGAGAAATAAATATTTGTACCTTCTTCAATGAACACGGAGAGGCCAAAATCAGTAGCCTTGAGGAGAGCAGTGTTGTTATCTTTACTGGAGAGCAGGAAATTCTCCGGCTTGAGATCCCTATGCATCACACCCATGAAATGGCAAATATGCACCACATTCACAATCGACCTGCAAATCCCAGCAGCTTCCTTCTCACTGTAATGGCCCTTGGCAATAATCCGATCGAAGAGCTCCCCGCCGGCACACAGCTCCATGACCAGATGAACCGTCTGCTTATCCTCGTACGCGCCCTTGAACTCAACGATATTCGGCTGCCCGCTAAGGTGCTGCATTATCTGAATCTCCCTCTTCATATCCTCCTTGTCGTTCTTCGTGACCAGCTTCCTCTTGGAAATCGACTTGCAGGCGTACTGCTTCCCGGTGGAATTCTCGATGCAGAGGTAAGTAACCCCAAATTGGCCCCGACCCAGTTCTTTTCCGATCGTGTAGTGAAGCTTGACGTCCTCATAGGCCTTCCCGAGGATCGTATCGGGTCGCCGGGCCGGCTTCGGGCTCGGTGGAGCGAGGAAACCGGGTTTTTTGGGGGTCCGGAGTGGAGATTGCGGAGGAATTACATGGCCGCCGGCAGAGTCTCCGGCGGTGGGCGGAGGAGGTTTGGACGAATGATTGGTATAATCAGCAGGAGGCAGGTCTCGAGATTTGGGATGGTAATTGTTGTGATGATTGTTATCATTGTGGTTGTAGCGGAAAGCATCGCCGCCTCTGCCGCCTTTGCTTATGCAGTGACCCATTTAATACCCAGCTGCTGCTGATAGCTTATCAAAATTCTGGATCAGCGAGTGGAAGAGGAAGAGGAGAAGAAAGGTGTCGTCAGGGGTTGAATTGAATTGGGGGAAGGTGGGTATTGATGGGAAGAAAGATTCAGAGATGATGAGGCAAGAGTAACGACAGAAAGGAAACCAAGGGAACAAGAGATTCCAAAATAGATGAACAGATATATGATTATAAAAAACTGGAGGAAGAAGACCCAGAAGAGGAATTGGAGGGGAAAGAGGTGGGGGACGATAAAATGACAGCTTTGAGGTGGATCAGAAGCAGGCGGAGGAATTAAAAAACAGTTTTCTGTATGTGATGGGGATATATAGTGGAAGCGAAGTGGAGGAAGGTCAGGTTCAGGGGATTTTGTTGTTTTTTAATTCGGGGAAGGAAGGAAGGGGCTTTTGCTTTAATGGGGAAAGAGAGGAAGCAGAGTCCGGAGTGCGATGTGAAGGGAAAGAAGAAGAAAGGAAGATGGTCAACTCAGCGTTTGGACTTGGTTTGTCAATTGGTGTTTGGATCCAAGTTATACTCTGCCGATTTCCCAGATAGCAAGTAATACGGAAGTAAAGATAAGAACTTCGCAATAATTTCGCTATTTTTAGATGATTCTGATGATGAAGGTGAATAATTGACAAGAAAAAGGGAGAGACGGCTGTTTCAGGTTCAGGTTCAGGTTCAGGTTCAGATTCAGATTAATCTTATACGCAAAACAATCTGGTCAAGATATGGGAGAACTACTGGCATGTAAATACGTGTTTTAATTGGAGGAAAAAGCGAATTGCTTTCTTCTTTGTTTCCCAATCAGAGAAATATTTAGATTTGCACTGAAATTTGTTCCTGGTCTGGGAGGGAAAGGCGGGAAGAAGCTTCCTTCCACTGTCTCTGTTTTCTTGTTCTTTTCACTTTGGAGGGAAAGCTGGAAAGGAAACAGAGGGCGACTTGCTTACTAGATGCTACTTGTGAGCTTGGCCACAGCTTTAACCCGTCGATCGTATGCTCCTTAAGAGCATCTCGGGTTGGCTCATGATTTGACAATGTCAATGGTGTAGGCAATGCAGTTAAAAGCGCGATTTTACCTAGAAACGGAAAATGGGTAAAATCGTAAAACGTAGAATCAAAGCGTAAAAGCGTAAGTTTTTTATGCACCCTCTAAAATAGCTAAAATATGTTAAGTACAACATATAGTATGTAAAATGTGAGTGTGTAGATTTTAGACAAGTGAATAACTACATAAAATTCATAATTAAAATGTAATATCTAACACATAAACGAATTTGTGTTGACTCACAAGTAGAGAAAACTCATAACATCTTAATAATAAGCTCATAAACGTAGATCGTGTCCCATAAACGAGCTTGAGAATCCAAATTCTCATAAGCTGGTTTGAGTTTACATAATCACATACGATCCCATAAACTTTTATTGTAACCCAGGTAAGAGCCACATGTGAAGATTAAGGGAGAAGACTGATAAAAGGTCAGCGGCTGTTGAGAATACCATTAGGTGTCTTTTCAACCTAATGTGAAGCCCCTATCTCGACACTAGTTGTAGAACGAGTGATGAATCATGTTTTCCTTTTTTTTATTTTTTGCTGATATGTCTCCAAAATTACATCATTTTTGCCCAATTAGCACATTTTTATGAGATGATCAAAATCGTATAAGAACGCTTCAGAATCGC